GTTTTGCCCCATATATTACATATATACAGCACACCAACAAAAATACTTCTCAACCGTTTAGATATTCATCCAGTTAGAAATGTGCTACAGTATGCCACATACGTTTTATCTTTATTCTCTACTCCTCAGGGGATACCTGTTCTTGGTAGGATAGGGGCTAATGACAGAACTGTTCATCCATTTTTTCTAAGGTATTTCATCATTAATTCATAAGTTTACTCAACAAGATGAAAAAAAAATAGACAGCAGGTTTTCAGGCTAAGCCACGCCTGCTATAACTGTGTGCATACATCATTATCCGTAACAAAAAGAAGAACGGTCTTCAATTCATCTTCCTAACTGTTTAAAATGTCAAACATTGAAGATGATCCATGGTTGCAGAGGTGGTGGCACCTCTGACAATTTCCTTCATTGTACAAGCTTAGACCCCTGACCTCCAATGCCATGATGAGATTTTCTGACTAAAGATATTTTTATATTTCTGATACAAATTTATTGTGATTGCCAATCTTTGTAAAATATTGCTGACCAAAAGGACAATTTTGTGCCATCCAAAAGTGTAATATGAAAACCTCACCAGATATTAATTTTTTCGGGACTTGAGAGAGGCTGAACGCTCCTATTGACTTGTTGGACCTCCTGTCAATGAATTTCTGAATCTACCAATGCATTTATCTCTTGGTTTACATAAAGAATTATTTTCATGTGTAAAATAAAATAGATTTTTTTTATGAAGTTTAGGTGATGGTAGCAATATATATCAAAAACCTGTTGTGGGGTTGCTTTTCATTTTGTTTTTTAAAACAACCAATTTTTTTTTACGTTCTTTACAGTATATAGATATTTTTTAATGAGTTTTGATAACTATGATTGTAAAATTGCAGCTATTTTAATGATTGGTTCCTTTTGGCACCGTTTTTTTAGGAGGATGTACAGACGATTGAAGGAGGAGAATGTGAATGTAACATACAAGGAGTTACCTGGAAAAGAGCATTGGTGGTGGGATACCTGGTAAGATTGCTAATTGATTGAATGATTGAATCATTTATTCATTAATCATAGTATGTTTGTTTGAATGATTAAATTGATTTATTCAATGATTTATTGAATAATTGATTCGTTGATTCATCCAGTCATGTATTCCAGTGGCGGATCCACAAATTCAAAATAGAGGGGCCCAGGGAGGGACTTTTACATATAGAGGGTCCACCTCAGCCCCACAATGGTTGGGGTTAAGGTAAGAAACGTTATGATTATGACAATCTAGATGACTTGAAAGGGCACTCCCAGACTTCAATTTGAATATGGGTGTCTGGTAGGGTTAAATACCAAAATGCTCTGATGTAGCTGTTGCAACTTTATGGAACAGTTTGTGTTCCATAGGCATCTAATCCAATGACCAGGGATAGTAAAGTGAAGCGCTTAGAGGCCTTGTTGGCATTAAGCGCTATATAAATATAACGTGTTATTATAATTTATTTTTTTCTCCATTTTAAAAAGTAATTTTGAAAAATTGCACCCCCCCCCCCCCCCCCACATCATCAATCTGCCATTGTACTCATTCATTGTTTGTGTGGTTGGTAGATCAATTAATGGAATTGATTTATGACTGATTTTTTTAATGTTTGTTGATTGATCTGTTGGTTGATTGGTTCCTTTATTGTTTGATTGGTTGATTGATTTTTAGGTTGAACGTTTGATTGATTGATACTTTTTAAACTGCACCTGTCTGTCAAATGTTTTATCCAATTATAAAATTACTGTACATTCTTTTTATATTATTTGAAGTTAGTAATGTATTTTACATTTTTTCTTTACTGAAAGTGGCGATTCTTCGCTGTTGGAAGAAATAAACAAAATAAACCAAAAGTTTTATACATCGTATCCAATGTTTGCTATGTTTTATCATACCACGATTTACATATTCCATATTTATGGGGTTTTTTTATTATCATACTATAATTTGCTGAATATGTTTCTGTCCCAATTATGGATAAATAGAAATTCATTTTAATGCTTTTTGGAGAAGTTACTATCCTGTGATTGGTAGATTAATCTCCAAGCCTTATTTTTATATAGATCATAAATTATGGTTTTGGTTTTTTTTTGTTTTTTTTTGCCAACAAAAAAAGAAATAACAAATCTACAAATTGATGAAGCGAGATGAAATTCTTTGAAAACGATTACTAGTATTGGGTCTTTATATAGCACATTTCAAATTCTGAAGAAATGATTAGGACAGTTACAGAGTAATTACTCTGGTTATTGTACTGTATTCTAATTTGTTTGAGATCAGAATGTTCAAACCAGCTTACAATACAGGGGCAGATCCAGAGATGTCCAAAAGGTGGGGGGTGGGGAGCAAAAGGGAGGGCCGATAGTGGGGCTGATTGAAATAACAGCATTTTAGGGGGGAAATTTTTGTTTTCTAGATGGCCGAAAATAACTGCTGAGGCGTTTCATTTTTTTTTTTTTGACTTTCCAAAAGGTTGACCTGGGCTGGCCCAGCCCCCCTAAAATTCCCCTGCAACAAAACAGTTTATTATAAAGTTAAAATAACATTACAGTTCAAGGTGTTCAAGACGTTTTTATGGAATCACAATTATGTTCTTATAACATTTTAACTATTGCTGCTGCAGTGTTGTGTTAACGTTTTAGTGTTATTTGTGGGAAACAATGATACATAGATTCGCGCCGTGTTGTCTTCAGTTAACTGTCTTTATTCGTATCTCTCCGTGTGTGCTACACCACCTTACAAAGTAGTACAGCACATCTCACGAAACTTTCAAAAGAATGTATTGAACTTAATATTGCTATAGAATAATAAGACTATAAAATTAGAGGTTGTGGCACATACATATGTTAGCATTCATGTGGAACTTTTTCATTAAAACATTATGATAATTATTGAAGGTGGGATTATTATTGACTTGTTACTCTCAATGAACATCAGGGCATGTACTCCACAGCAAAGCTTAACCAACAGACAGTAGGCATACTGATGAAATGACAAGAGTAACATTTAGTGGCACGTGTGTATTACATGCTTGCGTTGGCATTGCCTGCGACATAATTTCGCAAACTTTTTATCCACGCTTATGACCTACAGACGTGTCGAATGACTCAGTGACGACAGTATCAAATGGAGCAACACAAAGGATATTTACCATTGCAATTATTGCATCCTCATCGGGAGATTTAGTGCTGTTTGTGGACTACAACAATAATACATACAGTCAAGCCATGTTATCTTTAATCAACTGTTTTATTCATATTACTCCATGTGTTATAACATAACCTAACTGCATATTTCAGAAACATTATAGAAAGATTTTGTTTGCTTGAAATCATTCATCCTTTCTCTTTCCCACTTGTAGGAAAACAAACGATGGTGGTGCCGTCAATGATCCCCAACTGAGGAACTTTATGAGTGAATATTCATTAGTAAGTTCTACAACTGACCAATCATGTGACTCAGTTGACCAGGACTGTTCCATTATAAAATCAAAGGGTAAATATTCTAAAAGTAAATTGGATGGGAGCTCCTTTACATTGACAGTAATAAATCCAGCTCTTGGAGAAAGTTTAAAAGGTGTAAGAATTATTCAACAGATTGTTCCATATAGGACCAGTACAGTACAGGTGAGGAATTTTATATATCTACAGTATTTGTGTATATACTTAATTTTTATATATTCATTTATGAATGTACATATAACAATTTGTTTATGTGTTTTTACCTTGTACATTTTAGATTTTTTCGTTTTCTAACAATTACAGTAGGTAGATGTTAAAAGTTTAAATATTGATAAGCCTAATTTTTTGTTATGTATTAAGTTAAAATATTTTGTATATTTATAATATTTTAAGATTCTTTTTATGGGAATCACAAACCTGAAGCTACTACAAAATTGTGTTACAAATTAAACTAGAGCAGTCACTCCATAGAGTACATACCTCCACCCTGTGCCTGAATACAGAGTATTAACAATATGCAGGCCGTGTATGATGAGCGAAACTACTACAAGGGGGGTCTGGGGTCCTTCCCCTGGAAAATTTTGATTCCTAGATTGCCTGAAATGAGCTTTCCCAACTTCTGGGGTGTCTTTTAATGATCTTTATTTCTTCAAAATTCAAGGTTTTACCCCTCTTAAAAAAAAAAGGTCAGGTGATTTTATCTAATTCTTAGGCAGGGAACAGTGAATGTTCTTAGGCCTGTACTATAGAGAATAAATCAAAAATATAGTCAATATATTATTAGGCCTATATCATACCAAGTCTCATGCATCCGGCGTGAACCTCACGCTTTTCGAGCAAACATCAAGCTCTCAAGGCTCAAGCCACTCCTCTAATATCTCACGCTTTTCCACTAATCTCAAAATTTTTTTTGATTAAACCCAAACTTTTTATCGAATTCCTTCGCAATTCTATATTTTATCAGGCCCAGATCATCGAAAATTCTATCATTCCTGTTATAGCTACACATTTTTAATGTTTAATTTCAGCACTAGAGATATTCAAAGTGCACCAGAGAGCATCTAAGCCCAACATTTTTCAGGGCCCTTGGACGTTCCCTCGACTCACGTCAATCGGCTTTATTTCCTGTTAAATCTCAAGCACTCTACCTCCAACTTAGCATTTATTCTATATTCCAACATTATTGATTAGTTGGATACGTAGTCCTTTTTCCATAGATCGATGAACTGATAGGCCTGAAGAATACACTTTCGTACATAAATTATTACAACGTCGAGCTAAAACTGTTTTTAATTGTATTTAAATTCAGGCTCCGGAGGATAAAAATTTTTTGATATGTTGCAGAACTGATTTTTCTAAGACAGAAAAAAGTTGTTTGACGAAAAACTGGGAAACGGTGAATGAGATACATATTTTTTAATATTTAAAAACTGGGGGAATAACGTGTAAAAATGGGCAGTTACTCCCCTTTTTCCCCCAGTTTTTTAATTTTAAAAAATCTGTATCTCATTCACCGTTCCCCAGTTTTTCGTCAAACAACTTTTTTCTGTCTTAGAAAAATCAGATCTACAACATATCAACAATTTTTTTTCCTCCGGAGCCTGACTTTAATTGAATGCTAGTTGGGCTAAGCCTATTTTGTCCAATCTGCCAACCTATGCCTAGGTAGGTTACATAGTTACCAACCTGAAATAATTGAAATGCGTGATTTGAAACACGGGCCGGCTGCCAGCAGAGCCCCCCGTTGGGGTCTAGGGTCGGGGCCACGGTGGGGGTTCGGGATGCCCCCTGGGCGTTCTGACAATCTGAGCATTTTTAAGCTGTTTTTAGGGAGTGTTTATTGACAATATCAGGTACATAAACAAAAATATTTTTAATAAAGACACATACAATTTAAGTTTTAATGTATGTTTAATTTGAGCACCCGAACTAATGTACACAAACATTCATTACTCAACCAAACAAAAAATGAATAGGCTGCGGTAGTGAACCTTTCCTAAAACAATCAACACTTTTTCTACCCCTCCTGTTACTCCTACCCCCCTGATTCTTAATTAATTTGTTTAAAGGGCCAACATTTATTTTGAGTTGGGCTCCCGGGCCAAAAGATAATATCTGAGTACCGGTAATTAAGCAAGTCGTTATAATGTTTTTGGTAATTTCAAATTCTACTTTTTGTTACAATGTATGGTAACAAATTCTGTAACTTTAAGCAAAGAATACATACATAATTATCAATATTCTGTTCACATCCTAGTTGGTTAAAACAATAAGAAATTGCATTCAGTGTATAATAAACATTAGTAACATAAACATTAAAAATATATATATATACGCATACTTTATAAAACATAAATTGACCTGATTTTCTGATAAATTAAATAACAATAATTAAATGAAATATATTTAATGATATATGTATATTTGCTACCATCAACCGTAACACATAATTTGAAATAAATGTAGGCGTATCGTAGAAGAGAGTCACTAATGGGCATTGACCTCAAAAGTACTGTAGAAGTACAGAAATAATACTTCTGCTACTTGCCAGAGTGTTTTTTGTGCATGCAGAGAAATATGGGTATATAGAACAACTAGGAAATAGGTGTGATATCGAAATTCCAATAGAGGAAACATGTTATAAAGATATCCTGTTTTCTTTCCTCTATTTCTTAGGTAAAACCGGATTTAAACTTCCAAAACGTTTCTACAATGTGTATTTAGGCTTCACCAATACTGTATTGCAAATGCATCAATAGTCAATTAGTCAATTGATTGAATAACGCTTTTGTATCATCAGCACACCTTTTTAGTGTAACCTTACAATGACTAGACAATGATTAATTAATATAGAGAAAACACAAAATAAAGAAATTTAAAAAAAATGTTCTCTCTCTTATAAAGTATAATGAAAATAACCTGATGGAAAAAAAAATTCAAAAAGAAAACTAGAAGGAACAATGCATCGAAAAAATGGGGGAAATAGCTCGGGGAATAACTTTCTAAGTATAAAAAAAATCTGTGGGGAAAATTAGCAATTGGCAAGTAGCCACCGTAATAGTGCTATATTCTGTAAAGTAAAGCCTCAAACCACCTCGATTTTAAGTCTACTAAGTTTAAAAATCTTCCCAGGCTTTTCCAGATATAGCTAAATCTAACTTAATCTTTGGCATTTTTTGATAGGAGATTATTTTTTTAGATTTCCGTGGGTTATCCCGACTCAAAGACAAGCCTGCGTACACACCTAACATGCACATTCATCTTCTATAAAATAGGAGACATGTTCACACGCAAGATCTTTTTAAAATTAAAATCAAAATTTAAAGTAGATGGACATTTTGAAAACAAAGGAAAAAAAATAAAACAATTTCTTCCATATTGCAGAAACTGCTTTTTGGATGAAGTTGAAACTAATACAAAAACAAATTCTTCTGTATTTAAAATAACTTTTTTAGATAGACATTTTAAAAACAAAGAACAAAAAAAAAACAATATCTCCCATATTACAGAAACTTATTTTTGGATGAAGTTGAAACTAATACAAAAACAAATTCTTCTGTATTTAAAATAATTTTTTAAAAAGAATTAAGAAATATTAGAAAATTGAAGATTAAATACACATTAAAAATAACAAGCTTCTGTTCTTTTGACTTTTGATAGTTAATATATATATATTTTTTAGGAATTTTGTTGTTGTCTTCATTTATAATGGGAAAATTATTTATCAAAATATTTAATTTAATTTGTTTTTATTTTTGGATAGATTCATGGGTCAAATTTGGTTAACCAGTTAACCATACCAATCAATTTTTAGTAACGCGTCAGTGAATTAAGTATTCACGTAAATACTGCACTTACCTAACTGCGTGCGTGTCTGATGCTGACAACTGCAGTTTCATTCACATAATCAACATTGGTTGTGACAATGAACGTGCAAGACCGCACGCATCGCCAAAGCTTTCGGTGAATTGAATCGCAAACAAAATAACAAAGCTCTCTAATGACTCAAGTTACTGCATGATTGTTTTATAGTTTTAATAAAACTAATTTCTTCTAATTTTAAATATATTTTCCCTGAATTCGTGATTATTCGTCGTCATGCGTAGACTAAATGCGTGACAAATTTAAGATCACGCATGTGTTTCTGCAAAATGCATGTTACATCCAAAATGACTTAGAAACGCGGGACCGTCCCGCACAATGCAAGACGGTTGGTAACTATGAGGTTAGCATGCCTTTTGTGAGCCAGGACTCAATAGTATTTTGTTACATATCTTCACAGAGTGGGGTTCGTCTGAACCCCTTGAATCCCCCCCCCCTCCGGATCCGCCACTGGTATTCAGGCACATTATTTTCTAAAGTGCTGCCAGAATACAAGGAGCAATTCCGTTATTTTCTTTTATGCTCGAGGGTAAAAAAATTGAATTTCCTTTGACCTTTTCTTCCGAAAATTGAAAGATGTCTTTCTTTGATTATTACTGTATGTACCATTTTCCCGCTAAATTTTATGAAGATCCATTCATTAGTTTTTGCGTAATCTTGCTAACAGGCAGACAGTGGAGGTAATTAAGAGGAGGAACAATTTTGCTTCCATTTTCTTGTCAAATCTTTTTTTTTTTGTAATTTTGTTTTTTCTGTAATTTTGAATTAATATATTGTTGCCCTTTCCTCAGATAAATCTCACACCTGACAGTGTTACATTAGCAACTAGCAATGTTGCCAAACTGAGCATATCGGACACTCCTCATGGTGACCTTACCTGGACAGGTGTGCCGTGTGAGATAGATGGTCAAGTTGTTAACTTAAAGGGCAATCCGGTAGATTTATGTAGAAAAACAGGTGAGAATCTAAGTTAAATCTAATACAGATTATAACTTTTACATTATACTACTCTTTTTAAGGGCAAAACATATGGGTATTGAATATCCACAGGACCTGGAAGGGGGTCCATTGGCAAGTATACTTACTGTTAGATGTGAAGGTAATAAAAAGGATTGCTGAGGGTATTCAATGGCAGATCGAGGAATTCAAAATAAAGGGACCCCAGGGAGGGACATAAGGGATAGAGGGTCTATATCACCTCAACTCCACATGGCCTGCGGTACGAAATTTTATATCTGTGGCACCTCCAGAAATGGCATTCTCCAGAATTTTGATATAATTTTTTTTCCCCTTTTTTTTCATTAACTATCAATAAATTTAGGAGATCGGTCATGCGGGATGCTCACCCCACCCCCCTCTCTCTTTCTTGAATTCGCTTATGGTATTTTACATAAAAATTGGAAACTGTGTAAATGATATAAGACAGTTAAAGATAACACAATTCTAGGTTTAAAACAAATTGTATGAGATAATATACCTACTTACAGCTGAACCAATGATGGATCAGTGTTTTTTTTATGTTTTGGGTTATAATTTTTTTTCTGATTAATTGCCCGCATATAATATTTATTGTTTCTTATTGTTTAGCAATACTAGGCCAACCTGTGGCCAGGGCAGAGCAGGCTCCCATTTAAATTTTGAGTTAATTATTTCATAAAAATGGAAAATATTTACCAAAGAAAATGTTATACATCATTTAGATTAGCTAATATAAAGTGTAGAAGTTGTATTGAGAATTGTTAGATGAGTTGAAAGATCAGTATTTACATTGAAGAAATTTATTATGTAAATAATGAAAGAACAAAATTGAAGACAAATATCATGTTATACTTTAGTATGTCCTTGTTTCATGTTGATCTTAGAAAGCAATAATATTAAAAATTACCTTTTAAAGTTAAGTATTTACTTTGTTAAAATCCAAAACAAACATGTCTAATATAGTTATATTTATTTTTCCTGCATTTAGACAAAGAAGTGCTCTGTATAGTGCATTAATTTTTTGTATTGATTTTTTGTAAGGGCTGGAGGTCTATGTGAGATCAATAAATGTTCTAGACGAAGTGTCTAGTAATTAATGAACAGACATATTATTTTGCAGAAAAGATCTTCGGCTACACTCTATATCTGTTATTGCTCAATACCATTTTTTTTTATACACAGCATGATTAATAGTAGCATTTTTGTTTATGTCGTATTGTAAGCGCGGGCCTGTAGAATAAGTTCCGTTTGGTGCTGATTAGTCTGAGACGACTTCTTAATTGATCAATGGACGTTTCTGTAAATCATTCTATAAAACATGATTGCGGCTTAGGTGCTGAAATAAATTGACAGTAAATATACATTAGAGAAAATCATAGTAACTACAGTATGTCGGGTTGATTCTTTGTCGTGCGGCCCTGATAATTGCAATCAGTTCTTTTTACTTTTCAGAGTCCCTCAGGTATAAGCCCACTTCATGTATAAGGCCAATGGCATAACGAATGGCCCGGTGTCCCTGTGGCTTTCTGAGACTGGGAGTCCCCCTTTTTGATTCGGTCGCCAATCCGATTGTGGGGTTTCAGATGTGCTCGTTTTTTTTTCATTTTATTCTAGATTGTTTTTAATGACAAAATAAAGTATATGGTATCAGTTGAAGATCAGGGTATTTTAAATAGAGAGGAAATGGGGCAGGGAGGGATTTCACAGATCTATATGACCTGAACCCCACCATGGTTAGCGTTGAAAGGGACAGGGAGGGGCTTTCACAGATCTATATGACCTCAGCCCCACCATGGTTGGGGTTGAGGCAAGAAAATTTATGATTGTGGCACCTCTAAATGGCCGAAAATGGCCCTCATAAACTTTAAATGTGAGTATAATTTTCACTTTTTCTTCATTTTTAAAACAATTGGCAAATTCATGGATCCTCTGGCCTACAATGCCCCCTTAATCCTCCACTGGATCTTATAAGATTTATATGATACTGTATATGTTTTACAGTCGATCTCAGAGACACGTATGCTGTTATCAACAAAGCCCTTTTGGGTCACGGTGCTAGATCGAGAACTCTAAGGCTGGGGCACCTTCAGGCCCCTAGGGGTCAGGGGCCCTGTGGACCGCCGCATGAGAGCGCATAGCCGTTACACCACATTATAAGCCCAACCCCTACTTTACGCCCATTTTTACATACCAGCCTTTCCTCGGCAAGAGCCCAGAGTATAATTAGTTGAATTTTGCAAATACTCCGAAAAAGAAAAATTAAATAGTGCCTTTGAATTATCATGCAGGGCTGAAAAAAATTGCCTTTTGATTGAACAGGGGATTTCCCGTGTTTAAGCCCATTCCCAGAATCGGCTCAATTTTGTGTTCAACGGGAATGGGCTTATATCTGAGAAACTGCAATATTTCTATTAACAACAAGCTTATTTTAATTATGTTCTTGTTTTGTAAGTTAAATGGCTATCATTAGAGGCAGTATATTTTTAATGCCTTAAATTCTCGCGTGTAAAGGCAATCCACAAATAGGACGACCCTCGAGTTTGAGAAGATTTTTGGATGATTTTTGTATGTCAGGCAATGTTTTATATCGTGTCTGCAATTATTAATTTCAATTTTTGTAGGATCTTGGAAATCATGTGATGATAATCCTTTAATGGGAAATGATAAAGAACGAGGACCATCAAATTATGGACCAGCACGGAGAGTAGCAGAGCGTAGTTTTCTTATAGTGACAGGTAGATCAAAATCATTTCATCATTTAATTCTTCAATTTCGTCCATCTGTTTATTCATTCATTCCTTTTTGTCTATTTGTTTAGTCATTCATTATTAAAATTTTACTAGGTAGTGAAGTTGATACAGTATAGCTATAAGCTCAGTCAGCTAACCCAGTCTAATACTGTATATAAGAACATTATCGTATGGCCTTACTAAGGCCATATTCGATTGCAAAAATATCTGTATCTTCTAGGTAAAATACTAAAAAAATCTAAACCATTGATTGTTAGTGTTGCAGGAGCAAGCACTAAAGAATCATCACAAGTCTTTAAGTATCTTAATGTTCCACCCCATTGTGGGGTATGTGATTCATTTTATTTTAACACCCCTGTGATGCACTGATCATTTTTGGCGGGGTATGCAAATCATTCAAATTTTGGAGTGATGTTCCTCCCCCAGGATGTGTAGTTAGTTTATTGTAAAGTTGATATAGCATTACTCAGTCAGCTAAATTTCTAATATTCAAGAACACTATCATATGGCCTTACTAAGAGCCTGTTCAATCATAAAAAATATCCCTGCATCTTCCAGGTAAAAATACTGAAAAGAATAAAGACTATTGTTTGTTTTATTTTTGCAGGAACAAGCAATAAAGCATTAGCACCAATACTATTTCAACTTGCCATATACATAGCCAACCTCTTCTTCCTTACTTCGGACACAATTGCTCCGATTATTGAAGACACAATGCTAACTGATCAACTTGCAGAATCTAATAACCTCATCATTATTGGTGGACCGGGAGAAAATTTACATAGTGTCAAATATTTGGATAAAATACCAATCAACATTGATAATGATAGCGGTGAGTAAGCATTGTTGTTATTGTCTACTGTATTACAGGAAATCAGAAAAAAAACCAATAGGAAAAAACACTACAAAAGTGGAACAAACCATTTCACAATAGTGGTATTTTTAAGTATTAACATTTATTTAAACAAAATCTTATTATTTAGTAAAACAAATCATATTTTAGTTAATACAATGAAGAAATAACTTACACTTTCTATAATGTTAAGCTGTTAGCCAAGTGTCACCTGTTTTTTTTATTTTACTTTCATAATTATGCTATGAATTCAGGTAATTATCATGGGTAGGGTTAATGGAGTGTATGATATAACACCAATATGTATTGGACAATACTCCTATTATGAAATAGATTGTACCATTGCTGTGTTATTTATTCTGGCCTAGTGGTGCTTTTTGTAATTCATTATTTATTTTTTTTAAATTTTATTTCACTTCCTGTGTTTCTGTTATGTATTGTGGATCCCTAATGATCAAGTCCGGCTGGATAGACCACCCTCACAAAATATCGTTGAAATAACGTTTTCCTTTCGGGTATTCTATCATACACTTACTAAAACACGAATCGGCTGTTGATCATGTGATAGACAATAACAAATGGTAAAGATAAACATGTGATAAATCAAGAGGTTGATGCCTACTGTTGAAAGACAGATATGGGATGAAATTCAAATGAGTATGCATAAAATGATGAATTGTTGTGTGAATGCACTCTTCTGCCATATCCATCAACATAGTGCATTACAGCTTGGACAATGTTCAGAATATAAACAAAATACATAAAAAATAGCAAAGTTTGATTGGCTTGTCTTAAAAAATTGTAGAATTGTTTAATCTATAACAAACCAAGCACAATTTTATGTATACTTACTGTGAGCTTTCATCTATGTTATCTTTCAAAAATGGTTACTTATTAATACTATTATTATTACTATCAATATTATTATTATAATAATTGTTATTATTTTGATCATTGTCCTTATTATATATATATATAT